CTCTCTGCATCTTCTTTTCTTCTTCCTCCCGCGACTTGCTTCTTCTTCTCCATCCTCTCTCTCCTTCTCCTCTTCTTCTTTTCTTCTTCTCCATTCTCTCTCCTTTGCCTCTTCTTTTCAATATATGTTTTTCTTTGGTTTTTTTTTCGAAATTTTTTCTCTTTGCTTTTTTTTTTTCCAAAATTTTTCTCTGTTCCTTTTTTTCCCGGAAAATTTTCTCTTTGCTTCTTCTCAATATACTGTCTTCTACTTCTCCCTCTGCTTGCACAGTCATCATCGTCTCACAGTCACCATCGTTGCACAATCGTCGTGTCCACAGCCCATAGTTCAAGCTGCGAAGTCATTATCTCCAATCGGTGCTCGCCGAAACTGACTGGAACTGACTGCGATGTTGTATTGGGGTTCACTGCATGTGGCTGTGACGGTGGGGGTTTGGATCGGTTGCAGGTGCTTGGGTGGTCGGTGGTTGTGGAAGGCGCTTGGGCGGTCGATCGTTGCGGCAAGGGCTTGGTTGTTGCAAGCGCTTGGGTTGGGACTAGCTTGTCCCCCCTCTCCACTCGGGTCTCGCTAAGAACACGAGGTGTTTTTGGTGGGGCCAGTATTAACAGTCCCACTTAAAACTAGTACCAAGTGAAAACAAACATGGGATAAAAATCTGTCTAGTCCAATCCAATATTCTATACCCTCGTTGTATAGTAACTATAGTTACAGCATGCCACCACACAGACCACGCCACCAAGGCAAGCAAGTCAATAATCATCACAAAAGAAAGAAAATAAAGTAAGGCAAGTTAATCAAATCAAAATAACAAAAAATAAACAAATAAATTGTTCAAGCCGAGCCCGAAAATTTCGACATGGGTTGATCACAAGATTAAAAAATTTCGACAAACCCGAAAAAGGATCCATTGCCACTGCGTGTTGAGCAAAAGTGTGCCTGATGTTCTAGTGAGATGGCAAGATTTTAGTGGTCTGTGTGTGCAGCAAACATGTTGCTCCTGTTGTTAGATCTATTTGTCAATATAAATTAGATGAGCTGGGGCCAATGGAAACAGAAAAGTTGGACTTAATTTGGAATTTTCGGCCATGCTACCCACGTTATTTCATTAGCAGGGCAAGTGCAAGCAAGCTCTCGCCAAGAAGCTCTCCTAGCCCAAGAGTTGAACCCTTCACATTTTTGAATAGCCATGGATGCTGCTGCCACTACTCATCCAAACAAGAGCAACTCTTTATTAGGAAATGGTGAGTCTTTATATACCCTACTGTTCTTAATTAGATCATGATCATGCTATTTTTACTTCCTTTGATCAATCGATCGTCATTCATATGCTTTCGGTTGATGCGCGTTACACTAATTAACTAGTATATATATTATATATAAATACCTCTCATCAGTGATGTGATGAGAGGTTCAAGGAAGTGTGCTGAGAGGTTCAAGGAAGTCGAAGTTTCCAAGGCTATTTCCAAACGGTCAGGAAGGTTTTCACCCCTAAAGAGAGAAGCACGAGGGAACAGTCCAGTCGAAGGTTCTCATCAGTGACGAGAGGTTCAAGGAAGTGTGATGAGAGGTTCAAGGAAGTGTGACGAGAGGTTCAAGGAAGTCGAAGTTTCCATGGCTATTTCCAAACGGTCAGGAAGGTGATGAGAGGTTCAAGGAAGTGTGACAGTCTGTCTCTCTTAGGCCGTGTGACAGTCTGTCTTCCTTTGTTAAGCAGTCCCGAAGGCGGCCTCTTTGTAGGGCGAATAGGCTTAGTCGTCTTGTTACAGCAACCCCCCCTCTCCATCTTCTCACCTCCTTTACAAAAAAAATCTCATAATTTTAAGTTTTTGTTAATTTTTTTCTCTTGCATGGGTTTATTACACATGCAAAGATATATAATTCAGCAGTTTGATACAAGGTATATGCATTGCGTTTAAAAATGAAGACGGCGCCAGGATCAAATCGGAATCTGGCCGCTTCGCCGGATCAGAGCTTACTCCGGCGACCTCGCCGGTGGCGGCGCAGGTAATGGGTCGCCATTAACTAGTTGGTTTTGTTGTTAGGTCGCACACTTCAGCAGCCTCACCTGATAGTACGGAGCAGCGGACGAGGCAGCCATGAGATGATCAAGTTTTCTTTTAATTTTTCACTTCAGAATTTAAAAATATGACGTGGGACGATAATAAAACACAAGTAATTAATAGTAATTAAGGGGACAATTTCGTAAAAAGGAAGGGTCGACCTGTCTCACGTTGACCGCACCCTCTCTAGAGATCTTGCTTTTGTTTGATTATCCCTAACCACCGTATTTCAGCATTTTCTTCTCCGGTGAGAGGTGATGGCTGCTGCTCTACTCTGCTTGTTGGTGGTGACAGAGAGTTCAATGTCAATGGATTTGAAAAGTTTACAAAATTCACAGAGTTCGCTAAAGTTGGACTTTCTTATCTTGTTGTCGCCATTATCGGCCCACAAAGTAGTGGTATGCATTCTTACTTACCTTTTAATCTTCATTTCTGACTTGGTTGAGGATTCACAAAAATATCACTCTGGTGTATAAGATGAAGCAAAGTTTTTGAAATTCTGCTACTGTTTTGAAGCTTAATCAGATGGAGCAGGGTTTACAAATTACGATATATTTTTGGTCATTCTCTGTTTTCTCATCTGATATTGATATATGACAGTGTCTTTTTAATACTAATTATCTGTCCAGGAAAGAGCACACTACTAAACCATTTATTTCACACCAACTTTAAAGAAATGGACGCCGTTAAAGGAAGGCAAGTTCTCTCATAATGCTCAAAATGACAACTTAGTTGTGTTATGTTTTCTCTCTTAGTGACCATGAATATGATGGGATATGCTTTTATTCCAGGTCTCAAACAACAAAAGGTATTTGGGTGGCAAAATGTCCCATCATTGACCCTTTTACTCTTGTTATGGACATGGAGGGTACAGACGGGAAAGAACGAGGAGAGGTGCTCTTAGTTTTCATAATCAAATTTCAATTTATGGTCATGCTTGAATTTATTGTCATTACCAATTCTCTGGCCAACACACGAATCCATTGCTGGATGATCACTTTTTATTTCTTTGACTACTGCTCTTACTTGTAGCTTACAGATGATAGACATTTTGCTCTTACTTAATCAAGAACAGAAATGAGAAATGGAATCCGGATTTATTGATTGTTTCCAAGTTTTAAAAACAAAAAATGCACAACTCTATCACGATTGCTTGTCATGGTTGCAATCTACTTAATCGGAATTTGGTTATTAATTTACAGGATACAGCATTCGAGAAGCAGACTACTCTTTTTGCCCTCGCTGTGGCAGATGTAGTGCTCATTAACATGTGGGTTTTTCTTTTTCCCCTTCTTTATTGACTGTTTGGATTTGTAATATTTTCCCCTCTCTCTGTGAGTAATCTTCTTTAGCAATTTTTGTGTAGATGGTGCCATGACATTGGCCGTGAGCACGCTTCAAATAAGCCTCTACTACACACTGTGTTCCAGGTAATTTCTTCCTCCCTACAAATATCAGAGGCTTGATTTCTTGAACTTTATGCTTGAATTTGTTCATAGGTGATGATGCGATTGTTTGGGCCTCATAAGACAACCCTGATCTTTGTCATCCGTGATAAGACAAAGGTTCCTTCTTCTCATTTAGTAATTCTCTGTGATTTGAGATGGAACCAATTTGTATTTGTCTTTGTTATTCATTTTGGTAGTCTGTTGCATCGTTTCCTTCCTTGGTATAAGGCCATTCCACTCTAGGCTGAGTTTTTGATAGTGTAATTATGCTTTTTTTGTTTGTAGACGCCACTGGAGAAGTTAGAAAGCGAACTTCGGAACGACATTCAGAAGGTTAACTAATTTGGTGCTTTATTTGTTGCTGCCTTACTTTTAGTGTTGTTGTTTGGTAACCCTGTCTCTCCTTTACTGCAGATATGGGAGTCTGCTCATAAGCCTGAAGCCCACAAGGAAACTCCACTGAGTGAATTTTTCAATGTAAGATGTCATGCTTATATGACAGATAAGATTTCATGTTTATTTGATATTACTGTGGTGAAAACTATCAATCATGTGTATTGATTGACAATGTGTTATATTTATGACTAAATGGCTAGGTTGAGGTTGTTGCGCTTTCAAATTATGAAGACAAAGAAGACACATTTAAAGCGGAGGTATGCATATGTGCTATGAGGGCACCATGCAGATTTTCTTTCTTTTCTTTGGGCCTTGGACACCATGTCAAATTGAATATCTCATCTTTTTTGTTCATGGAATACGAATAAATTATCTTGATACGTAAAAAGGACCATACAAGATTTTTCTTAAAAGAAAACGAAGAAAATGTGTTGCAGGTTTTCTCAAATGTTGCTGCATATTTTATTTCATTAACACTTCGTCGACTACCTTAAAAAATGTTTCTGTTCTCTGTCATTTGCCCCTTGCCATCTCGTCTCTCAGCTTTTGTTGCATTCCAGTTTCTGCCTCAAGAAACCAATTGTCCCATTTCTATTTTTTATACTAAAATGCCTCCTAGTGTTCAAATTTATGCATCTTGTGCAGGTTTGCCCTTTTTTGGGGTCAAATTTATGTAACTTATGTTTTTGAATGAAAGGTTGCTTGCATGAGGCAGAAATTCTTCCATCATAATAAACTTGCTGGAGATCGACAGGCGGTAGTTCCCGCTTCAGGATTTTCTTTGAGTTTACGGAAAATTTGGAAAAAAATAAAAAAAGACAGAGATCTTGATATTCCTTCCATCAAGGTAAAACTGTGAATACAATTGTTTTTTGGTCGAAAACTGTGAATACAATATATGTATGTAAATTTGAACAAGTCATCCATAACTCCTCCATTGCAGGTCATGGTGGCTACTGTACGTTGTGAAGAGATTGCCAATGAGAAGTATTCTGCTTTTGCAGCAAATGAGGTACCTGTTTTTCATATGTTGCCATATTTTCCATCTTCTTCAATTCTAGTTGGATGGCCTTGAATTGCTTTGGAATTATCACAGGAGTGGATTCAGTTGAAAGTGATCTCAGTTCATCCTGGTGGCTTTGGAAAGAAGCTGAGTTCAATGATTGATACTTGTATATTGGAGTACGTATCTTTCACTTATATTTCTCAGCTTGTTGTAGGCTACAGGATAAGATTATATTTCTCACCTTTTGCCTTATGTGGTTGAATAGTTCTTTATATTTAGTTTAATTCGTTTTTACAAGTCTAGGTATGATAAAGAGGCTACACATTATGATGAAGGTGCCAAATCCGTGAAGCGCAAGCAGCTTGAAGAAAAAATGCTGAAAGTAATGAATCTCGACGTCATTCTTGTCGAACCATATATTACACATTATTCTCCTTGCCCCCCCTCTTTCCTCGTGCTATAGATGGCTGAAATATAGCAATGCAACCGAGACTTAACGGTTTTGGACTTACAGAAAATTTTGCCTCAAAGACCAAATTGTGTTTGTTATTCCGTTGATTGTGGTTGATACAATTTCTGTCATGACTCATCCTCTAATCTGCCATGCATATCGATCAGGGATGTACACAGTTTACAGTGAGGCGGCCTTTCAAGGCCTTCCGAGTGCATCACAGTAGTTGAACTGATTTGACATAAATTATCCTCTCTTTTTAAGCTTCCAATTTTAATTATCAATTCGATTTACATATCTTTCTTCTATTAATGATTCGCTGTCTTATTAGCTTGTTCAACCTGCATTCGAAGATCAGCTGGAACTTAAAAGATCTTCTACTCTGGATAAGTTCAAGGAAGCATTTGATAAGTCCTTGGACGGGGTCATCAAGGGATTTTCTGTGACTGCTCGTAATTTCACCAAGTCTTTTATGGCTCAATTTGATGAAGACTGTGCAGGTATGTTTTGAGAATGGCATTCCTTTAGCCAAAATTGGAAACTCAAGGATAAAATGCAAAAACTGAAATGCATAATAAAAGAAACACTTCAAAACCATGAAGCCAAGATAGATAAGTCACAAGACAAATTGAACTTTATCCTTGTAAACTCAACACATCTTACGCACAAGCTGACTTCCTGCCAATTAGTCAATTATGGATCAAGAGATAATAGTGTAATACTTAATATGTTATAAAACCAAATACAATAACCCTGTTCATCCATAGAAAGATTCCTCATCTTTGGATAGTAGAAAAATTCCTGTTAGTCTGTATGCTCCATCTCCCATGTTGTGCTACTTGCATGATGAATTACTCACATCTTGGACAGAAAGTTATTCATCATGTATTTGCTTGTAGCACAAGTTTTATCTTGAATCTTTGAGTGCATAGATCTTGCAATGTATTGAGTTGGTTTGGCTCACTTAATAATACACTGCGAGATGTTTGCAAACAACGATCATGGATCTTTCTTGCAACGACAAAATAATAGCTTCATACTGTTGCCGTGCCAAAATTTTCCTGCAAACATTATCAAGCTTTCAGTTTTACAAGCTTTTAACTTTTGCTCCAACGAAAACCTGGTTAGGTAGGAATACCACATGTAATACTTAATGAGTTATAAAACCAAACACACTAACCTTGTTCAGCCATAGAGTCAAATAGAGTGCACGAGAGAAATAGAGAGATCTTCTCCTAGAAGCCGATGCCTTACACTCTGTATAAGCTTGTATAAGCTAGAATATCACCTCAGTGAGTTTAAGACATTAAACAATCTCACAAATAGGCCTTTTGAATTGGTGTCATTAATATACGTTTTACTTGCTCTGTATATTACAATGAGATAACACATTATTTATGCAGATGTTGTTATCAAACAAGCAAACTGGGACACATCTAAAGTAAGGGATAAACTTAGACGTGATATAGAAGCCCATGTTGCTTCAGTTCATGCTGACAAGATAAAGGACCATTGTGAGGTATAATAGCATATTTTTGTTCATTCTCTCTTCTGAAATAGTTGGGGTTTCTGGTTTTCATCAACCCGAGCCAGAATTCGACTCCAAAAGAAAGTAAAAGTTGAGCTACTACTTTGATAAGTTAATTTTGTTAAGGACATTGATTGCTTTCGTTGTAACAGATTCCATGTAGTGTCTATTGTTGACAAAGTTGTCATAGGAACTTGGTTGATGATATTGTAACTATAAAATGCAGGCGAAGTTGAGGGAGCTGTTATCAGGACCGGTGGAAGTCCTTTTGAAGCAAGCTGATAATACGACCTGGCCCACAATAAGAATACTTCTTCAAGAGGCTAAATCAGCTTTCTCTGGGAGCGCTGCTGCAATTTCTGGTTTTGACATGGATGAACAAACCAAAGCCAAAATAGATGCAAGTCTAGAGAAATATGTAAGACGTATGGTTGAAGATAAAGCAAAGGAAGAGGCTGGAAGGGTCCTCATGCACATGAAGGAGAGGTAGAGAATTCTCTCTCTCACAATGGTTTGAACGTTATTTAAGATTTTATTGTATGCAATTGATATTTGAATTGCCTTTACAGGTTTAAAACAGAATTTAGTGACGATTCTAATTCAATCCAACGTGTTTGGAACCGGCGGGAAAATATTGGAGCGATTGCCAGAACTGCTCATTTTTCAGTATGGCTCAATTTTTATTAATTATGTGTAATTACATATATTGACAGTTCTTGAGAGTTTAAATTTAAACTGAAACTTTGTTAACTATATATATTCATATTCTGTAATTTTTTCAGTCCCTAGAAGTGCTTTCTGTTATGGCTGTGATCCGTTTGGATGGTGATAATGATGGCGATAAAGTTCAGCCTACTTTATACAGTGCCTTACTGGATAAAGATATGAGTACCACAACATATGACCCACTGGCTTCAAATACTTGGGAAGAGGTGACCCTTTCTTTTTCTTTTCTTTTTTTTGGCTTAATTTATAGATAGATCTCTCAACAACACAAAAAAAAACGTAGATACTGATATTTATTTATTAATATGTTCAATTTTATCCAATTTTATTATTATTTTATTATTTATACAAATAATATTCTACTTTAATCTAAATTATGGGGAGACGGTTTCGAACTTGGGTGCAACGTGAAGAACACATCCGCTCTAACCAACTTGGCTAAGCCCATATATGCATATCCAATCTTAATTTATTAATATTCAAAGATATTGCATACTAGATTAAGAAGAAAAATGTTTACAAATAAGATTGAGAGGGCTGGAGCAGGCCGGGCCGCATTGGGCTTGAGTTTAAACACTTGACCTAATCCTTACTCCACGCAAGGCCAGCTCTGCCATGGCTATAATATAGGCCGAAACGGACTTTGACCCATTGAATTTGGGCCGGCCCTCAAGCTAGCTCTCTCTCTCTCTCTCTCGCGTAAGACCATATATAAGGTTTTCTGACTTTCCCCTTCCTATACAGGTTCCACCATCAAAAACATTGATCATACCTCTTAAATGCAAAGAGTTGTGGGAGGAATTCAAGGAAAACACCAAGCACATTGTTTCGAAGGCCATAGAACTGGTATGATATCTCACCTATTAATAAATGGAAGCTATATGTGAACTATAAATAGTTTTGTTTTGTCTCCCATAATGTGTTATTTGATCACCTGCTGTTATGGAACTATGGTTAGAGTCTGTTTCAGGTTTTCTTTAGGTTTAGATGAACTTACTCATGAATGATGCGTTTCATCAGCTTAAAAATCTCTCTGAATTTAACTTACTCACACTCATACCTAGTCCATTAATTCAACATGCTGTTTTACTTTTCAGGAGGCCAACGCGCGTTTTCAACTACCTCCTTGGGCAACTTGCTGTTTGATTGTTGTGGGATGGAATGCCATTAGGAGACTAATAAGGTACACACTAGTTCCCATACACTACACAGGAGGATATGGATGATGTTCTTTCTACCATATATATGTAATTTTATATATCCAGTACAAGTACCTCTACCATGTTCAAATTTATTCCTCCATGGATGCAGAAATCCTTTGTATCTGGGTGTGGGTGTCATCCTTGTTGCTTTTTTACTCGTCATGCCCCTATTGTGCTGGTTTGCCACTAGGGATCTCTGGTGGGTTCTGTGAGTGAGAGTCACATTTTGTTTTAATTATTGTCTCACTCTCCCTACTCCTTCCTTCCTTAGTACTATACGCATATACACTGGTACTCCTTGTATAGCATGCTTTTTGCCTCCACTGCTAGTGATTTTAACACTCCTCCTTGTTTCACCTCGTGCACTCAGGTGAGTGTAGAAAGAAAAAAAATTATTTTGTTTGAAGTGCAACTGGCTAAAACAGGAGTGCCAAAATTACTGGTTTGTGGGGATTCTGGAATAGGTCTAGTTACATACTGAGTCGTTAACTTACTCATTCATAATAATAGATTTGTTATGATTTCAGGTGAGGGTAAAGAGTGAGAACACAACTATATAGTGGGCTTGGCGTTCTGCTCTTGGAGAAATGGTTGCAGGGCCCCGATCGACTTTATTTGAATCAACCAACAAAAACTAAAAACTAAAAAAATATTTAAGTGACCTCAATACCACTGGTTTTGAATATTAGACTGGAATTGTAGGACTGTTGTATTATTAATTATGAATTTTGTTTTGTACTGTAACAAGGGACAAGTATATGTGTTGTATTGTAATTTTGAATTTTATTTTGTATTGTTATTTCTTGTTCTGAATTGAAGACTACAACTATTAGCTATCATAGTAAACTTATTTATTTTAGTTTCTGTAACGATTTCTTGCAACTTAAATTTAATCTATGTTAAATTGCAATTTTTTTAGTTAGTTTTAGAAATAATATTTTCGACAAATTTTGTCTTACGGTACCTGCTTCTTCTTTTTTTCTTTTTCGTTTTGGTATATCAAAACTAACTTGCTTCTCTTTCATGTGTATGTAAGAAGAGGTGCAATTTAGGGAATGTGTATGTAAGAAGTTGTTTATACAAAAATGTGGAAAATCCTGCAAGGTTTAAGTTCATTCCAACAGCAGCAGCTGCTTGTTTGGCTAATGAGTCAGACACACTGTTTAGTTTTCTGTTGCAAAAGTTATTAAAAGAATGCAGGTTTGTTTGTGTTTGGTGAGGTTTTAGCTAGTTACTTGCAGAAATCATATACACAGGCGTTTCCTTCTGAGGTCTTTTGGTCCTTGGCAAGACCAGGTGACCAATAGTAAGCAATCTGAATAAATAATGAGATGATGCATGCCTAAATTTACGGCTCCATACAGAATGCCTTGTCCTGACTAGCTAAAAGCATTGCAACACATTGTTTGTTTGCATTCTCAATCTGCATAAAAAAAACCTACCCCTGCACACTCATAGCCCTTTCCTTATCATGAGTTTAGATATGACTGGTGGCTAGCTGGGTATCCTTATTTATTTTAGTAAATTATTGAGGAAGGACTTTGGTCATAAAATAAGAACAACCACAATCTTTTATTGTAAAAATGTTCACGCAATTTTCTTGTGGTGGTGGACCAGACCACACCAACTATATGTTTTTCCTCCACACAATTTTCTCTTTTCTCATCACTAACTCTTCTTAAGTGCAGTGGCCCATTTCTTCAGAATTCTATGAAGTCTATACATCTATGTGGGACGTTCTTCCAGATCATACATTTAATTGCAGGGACCATCCCTTTCCATTGTTCACACATGCAAGCCTTAAGAAGGGTCTCTCTTTTACAAAAAATAAAAGACAAAAAAGGAAAAGAAGGGTCTCTCTCTATAACTCTCTGCCTCTCGGTCAAATTGATGTTCACAAACTCTTGACGCAAACTTAGGTTTTGCTCATTGAATGCAAATGATACGGATGCTCATGGAACCGTTCAAACATTCAATGAAAAATTTATGGAGAGTGATAGGTTGAGGGAACAAGTGCCTCCTTCGAAACAAAGACACTTAAAAATTGCTGTTAGTTGTTTTTTTTTTTTTTTTTTTTTTTTTTTGTTTCAATCTTGGTTTGATATAGATGCTAGAGCTGGTATGCCACTGAGAAAGGCTTGTTGAAGCAAAGACATTAACTCCAACAATTATGACTCTTTTATCTCTATGTTACCATGGTTATATGGATGAATGATATCTTGTTAGGTATCTGGTATTGATTTTGTCGGACTGGGCTCATTCAAACATACGCTTAAATAATCAACTAGCTTTTGGTCTAGTGGTACTTTTCTTCCCAATAATGAAAGAGGTCCTAAGTTAGAATCCCTTCGAAAAAAAAAAAAAAAAAAAAAAAAAAAAACAAAACAAGAACATTATTACCGGTCTCAAAATATAGTATGTTCGACTATCGGATAATGTCGCATGTTAGATTGCCTCACAAGAAGTAAAGAAAACTACTTTTATATAATTTATGAGAAAGGGTAAGAAGCTGTAGCCTATTCTGTTTAGAGTACATGTTTTAGGTGTTCTTTTCGGCAAGAAGTCTGGGAAGAGAGTTCTCAAGAAGATTCCAGTGTAGTTGTTTATACAAAAATATGGAGGATCTTCAAATTTTAAGTCCATTCCAACACCAGCACAGCTGTTTGTTTGGCTAACGTGTCAGACACTGTTTGCTTGTCTGTTGCAAAAGTTTTTAAGACACTGGTTTGTATTTGGTGATGTTTTAGCTAGTTGCTTGCAGACTGCATATACACAGGCATTTCATTCTGAGGCTTTTTGGTCCTCCTCTGCAAACCAGGAGACCAATTGTAAGGAATCTGAGTAAAAAATGAGATGAAAATGTGCATAACAAAACCTGCACATGAGATGAAAAATCATAAGTGGGGATTGAGAGGCATTGGAGGATTCGAGCCGGGTACCTCTTGCAACTAGAGTTCGATATGATGTTAGACAATCATTAGACCCTTATAAACTTGAGTTCTTAGAAAATGAGCAATGTATATCAAGTTAAAACCATCATAAGAAAGGAATGAAAAGATGTTGGGAAATGCTGTTATTTCTTACAGATCAAACATTTAATTGCAGGGGCCGCCAGCCCATATTGTTCACAGGGCATGCAAGCCTCACAATCTTATTTCACTGAGAAATCTCTAACTCTGTGCCTTCTGGCCACATCGATGTTCACTCATTTTTTAGGCAAACTTGGCTTGTCATCATTGAATGCGAATGATACGAATTCTCATGGACCGTTCCGACATTCAATGAAGAATTTAAGGGGAGTGAGGTCAAGGTTATGAGGGAACAGGTGCCTCCTTAGAACAAGGACACTTAAGAAAATTGTTGTTAGGTTGGTTCTTTGCGTGTTTCAATCTTGGTTGATAATATGCTAGCTGGTTTGTTGATACCCGAAGCTGAGACATTACCTCCAAAAATTATTACTTTTATCTGTCTTGCATTGGTTGTATGAGAGAAAAGATTAACCAAAAGTAATTCTGTATAGACTCATAAAATTAGGAATGGCCTCTGGTTAGATATCATATATATACACTTAACCTAGTTAACAGATTTGATTCACAGTTTGAAGACATAATATGTTCGACTATATAATGTAACATGCTGTATTTCTCACAAGCAGAAAACTACTCTCTTTCAAATATTATATAAATTTTCTTTATTATGAGGTAAGGTAAGAAGCTGTCCTGTATCATATTATGTTTAGAGTTCATTTTTAGGTGTTTTTTCTGGCAAAAATCTGGGAACAGATTCCTGTTTGAAAGATACCAGTGTAGTTGTTTATACAAAAATGTGAAGGATCCTGAAAGCTTTAGTTCATTCCAACACCAGCAGTTGCTTGTTTGGCTAATGTGTCAGACACAATGTTGGCTTGTCTGTTGTAAAAGTTTTTAAAAGACTGTTGGTTAATAACTTAATAGTAACTTGGTTAGACTAGCTAGCTATTAGGAAATGATCCAACACTGCATAATGCATCAAACTGCGTCTTGTTAGTGAAGAAATAGAAATGTGTAAACAGAAAAAGAAGTAGGAAACGATCAAGGATTCGAGGTTTTAAGTCTAGAACCTCCTTCAACTAGAGTTTGATACCATGTTAGACAATCATTAAATCCTTAAAAAAAAATTTGAAAACTTCGGTTTTAAGGAAATGAACAACCCTGTATATCAAGTAAAACACCGCATTAAAAAAGGAGTGGAAGGGCAATGCTGTTATTTCCTGAGTTCATGCAAGTTAATTTTTTTCAACAATAACCTTATCTTGCTGAAATTAGAAATTGACTAGACGAAGACAAGGTGTAATTAGATCTTGGGATTGATGAAGGGAAATAGTACCCTTCCTTGAATGATCATTTATAGCGTACTTCAGAGGTTTAGTTGATTCTTTGAACAACGACTACCTACTTCTTCAAGTTGCTTCTGCTAGCTAGCTGGTTTTTTTCTTCTTTTCTCCATTTCCATGAACTTCTTTCCATTCCTTTAATGTTTACATCTCTCACAAATGTTAGACAACCCACTAGCTCCAAAAATATGGGATGAGCCAACAATATATATCAAGCTAAGGTTCTTTCTCACATGCAGGTCTATCTTGCACGTGGAGCGGCAGATCAACAGAGAGAGACAAACATATAGGTGTAGCTCCACCCCGCTACACCCCAAAAACCAGCACTTAAAAGTGGGAAATGGGGATTAAACAGAAGAAGGTTATAATACAAAATATTGTTAGACAACCCCTAGCACTTTATTAAGAAGGCTCCAAGTAATAACTCACATTTATATAATCATGCAACATGTGGATGAAATTTGAAAACCAATGCTTGTGTCCGACTCGATTAGGTGAGAATTTGTTCCAGCAATGCACATAACCAAGACCTTCAATTCCATGCATCTTTTTGAAAAAGGCTGGTTGAAATTAAATTTGACAGTTCTTCCTTGGGAGGAGAGAGAGAGAAGAGAGCTGAGGCCCTCCTTACCAAGACGCGTCAAAACCATGGTTGGTATTAGGAGCTGCTTTGTCTCTTAATTAAACTTGCTTTTTCCTGTGCTAAATCATGGTTGGTATCAATTTTGGATATTAATTGAAGGACATTCACATTTCTATGAACTATCATATATTTATGTTTTGATTACTTGGATGCTCGTACACCAGAAGCTCACGAGTGCATGGATTGAAACTGTGATTTTTTTTTGGTACCAAGAAAGAAACGTGAAATTCATCAATTTCCTCATAATAACCTGGATCATATATCTGCATGGTCTACTCATAAATTGGTGGTCCAATAAATGTGGCTCTGTGTCGCATTTTTGTATGAACCAAATGAATTGATGGAATGGAAAAGTGGTAGGTTTGTTTGCTTGTTTGTTTTTGAAAAAATATTTATTATCAAACCAAAGAGGTGGTAGTTTGGAAAAGCATGTAAAAATGAATGTGTGGGTGAAT